ATGGATGGATGGGTTGTAATACAGGAATGGTGAAGTTATATTACACGGCTTGTTAAAGCTTCCAGATAATATACAATCATTCTCATTTTGTTTTGTTTTACAAAATGGTAGAACATAGTAAAAGTGACAATCTGATGATAACATGGCAAAAGACCCGAACACTTACCTTGAACAAAACCTCTGGAAAAATATTGTCCATGACACTTAATAATAATGTTATGGAGATGAGTGGCCAAATAGTAGACAAAGCAAATTTATAGATTATAAAATAATTAGGAGATATTATTGGGTTATGTCAGACTGGGTCTCGTTTAAATCAGTGTGCTGGGAATGGAAGAGCTTGATGGATACTTTAATAAACCTTATATGGGACTGTCAGGCTGGTTTCTTCCATTTGGACACTAGTAGTTGGGGCTGTTGGGGCATGGCATGATAAGCTTTTGTTAAGTATGTTATGTTTTATTCCTCTTGGAGATAAACCTGGTCTTCCAGCAGGACTTACAAAGGCACAGTTTGGATTACCCTTTGCAGGCATCTCTAATGCAATACATAATTTACTTAGGAAGTGGACATACTGAAAATATAAGAAGAACTTGTAATAAGGATTGGATGAGCGTATGTTTTCAGCCCCAAAAAGTTAATACTCGCCAAATTAAAACAAAACAAAACATAACAATTGGTGTCAAAATTCACTAAAATGTGGAGTCGCTTCTTCAGATTTCTATGCAAAAGAAAGCCTCACATCATATAAATGTGTGGTGTGTTGTGGGGCTGGGGAGATGCTGTGACCTGCCATATTGTGCTGTTGTGTTGTCTTTGTTTTTGTTTGTATATTTTGTTATCTGCTGACTATCACATAAAATGTATGTTTTGTACTTTGCTGTTGAGAAAAATTTTAAAATGACAAAAGTGATCACAGTGACCAGACCATGTGCTGAAAGTAATAGTTCCCAAATGGTTCCTCAGAGGGCGCTCTGGTTCTTCAAAATGCCGAGTGTCAGCAACTGAAGAATGTCAGTCTTTAGAGGATGGTTACAGCTGCACTTTATGTGGTTCTTGAAAGTATCTTCATTTTTATTTCAGTTCAGTGGTTTGGCAGCTAGGAGCATACAATTATAGTTGCAACTAAAGCTGATCATTGATTAAGCTGCAGATTATTTTCTCAATTACTCAATTAATCATTTGGTTTATTAAACATCAGGTAAC